TGTGTGTGTGTGTGTGTGTGTGAGCATGTGTGTGTGCGTTTTTTTTCGTTTCACCAGTTGTAGAATTCAGGAGACATATGATGGCGTTTCATCATGGCATTGCCATGTTGAACTCAAGGCGTTGCAAACACTTAATAGATGCGAGATATGACAAATGAGAGAAAAATATTGGCAGTTGTTGTTATACAATTAGAAAGCCTAAAAACGATGACATTTTACTGCTTGCATTTGCAAAGTTGAATGGACATTTGAGAATGATCTCTATAGTTATTCTTTGTTTTGTTACAATAGTATGTGTAGTTTAACCCACACTATTATATTGTAAATATGAAAAAATGTCCCTGTTGCAACGCACGGCGAAGATGAGGCGGACGTCATCTGGTTTTAAAGGATATAGCACCGGTGAAAAATGTCCTGGTACAACGGGAAACATTTCATACATCTCATATATTAGTAATCTTATCGATGGTCAAAGCCGTCCTCAAAAAACGAATTAGGCTTTGTATATTAGAATGGAGGGAGTAGAAAAGTTTGCATATTTCGATGCAAATTAAAGGTGGAGATTAGACTTACCCCTTCAATCAAAAAGATTATATTGTTCTGATCTCTTGTTTTATTAATTGGGAGAATATGGATTAGAATTAGTAGATCATAAATGTACGAGAATGCCCCTTTTAAGTGACTTTAAGACCCGTGCAAACTTGTAAGAGGGGCGTGTCGAAGCAAACTTTTAAGAAGGGTGTCCCGCTATGGCGGAAACCGAACGCAAAGGGGAGGGTCCGACAGGAAAAGAGTGCATCATGGGGTGTGGTTTTTTTTGTGTTAGGCCTGCGTGTTGGAGATAACATGGCAGATAGTCCGGACAACTACATTTCTCCCTCGCATATGATTTGTATTTGGGAAGGCCGGATTGTACAAACTGTTGAATTTTGGGGAGCCTACTAGGCGCCCATTTGATATCTGAGCACGTCCGACTTTAAAGACGACTTTAATTATTTGTTTGGTTTATTTATATATGCATTATAGCCCGTAGCTAGCAACGCAGAGACGACTTGTAGAGAAGAAAACCATGCATATGCATACTACTCGTGGATGAGAAAAGCATATGCATGCATGAATTTGTTGGTGTGGAGGTGAAAAGCGTATGCATGGAACTGCTCAAAAGAAAAGAGAAGAAGGAAAAAGTTAAAAGAGAGTCCCGTGGTGATGCATGGATTTGTGAGGCTGAGGACCCTCTTCCATGGAGGCGATGCGCGCGCGACGAGTGCGGGCCTCCGCTTCCACACCCCATAAATATTACCTGCCTCGGGTCCATCCTTCACAGAAGGAGGTACTCCCTTGTGTTAGATCCAAGAAGCAACCACAAACAAGAATCAACAACAAGAGAGGAGGAGGAAGAAGAAGAGATCGAAGATGGCCGACGGCGAGGACATCCAGCCGCTGGTGTGCGACAACGGGACAGGTATGGTGAAGGCCGGGTTCGCCGGCGACGACGCGCCCCGGGCGGTGTTCCCCAGCATCGTGGGGCGGCCGCGGCACACGGGGGTCATGGTGGGCATGGGGCAGAAGGACGCGTACGTGGGCGACGAGGCGCAGTCCAAGCGTGGTATCCTCACCCTCAAGTACCCCATCGAGCACGGCATCGTCTCCAACTGGGACGACATGGAAAAGATCTGGCATCACACCTTCTACAACGAGCTCCGCGTGGCCCCCGAGGAGCATCCCGTCCTGCTCACCGAGGCGCCCCTCAACCCCAAGGCCAACCGTGAGAAGATGACCCAGATCATGTTCGAGACCTTCAACACCCCCGCCATGTACGTCGCCATCCAGGCCGTGCTCTCCCTCTACGCCTCCGGGCGAACCACCGGTACGTACGCATTACATCTTCTTCTCGTTTCTTTCTTTCATTCATCGTGTCCACCGTGATCATGATGATCGAAAAAAAAAAACATTTGCAAGGTATCGTGCTCGACTCCGGTGACGGTGTGAGCCACACGGTGCCCATCTACGAGGGGTACGCGCTGCCCCACGCCATCCTCCGTCTCGACCTCGCCGGACGCGACCTCACCGACCACCTCATGAAGATCCTCACGGAGCGCGGCTACTCCTTCACCACCACGGCGGAGCGCGAAATCGTCCGCGACATGAAGGAGAAGCTCTCCTACATCGCCCTCGACTACGACCAGGAGATGGAGACCTCCAAGACCAGCTCCTCCGTGGAGAAGAGCTACGAGCTGCCCGACGGCCAGGTCATCACCATCGGCGCCGAGCGCTTCCGCTGCCCGGAGGTGCTCTTCCAGCCATCCTTCATCGGGATGGAAGCCGCGGGGATCCACGAGACCACCTACAACTCCATCATGAAGTGTGATGTGGACATCAGGAAGGACCTCTACGGCAACATCGTCCTCAGTGGTGGCACCACCATGTTCACCGGCATCGCCGACAGGATGAGCAAGGAGATCACCGCCCTCGCGCCCAGCTCCATGAAGATCAAGGTCGTCGCCCCGCCCGAGAGGAAGTACAGTGTGTGGATCGGAGGCTCCATCCTCGCCTCCCTCAGCACCTTCCAGCAGATGTGGATCGCCAAGGCCGAGTACGACGAATCCGGACCATCCATCGTCCACCGGAAATGCTTCTAGATACTCATATATCCACCCCATTCCATCGTCATTATCTTACCTTATCACCATCATCATCATCATCACCAAACAAAACAAAAGTAAAGGGGCGCCGACGATGCATGGGATCATCACTACTACTGCTGCCGGGGCGCCCGTCCGATCGCCATCGATGATCCTTTTTTTTCCTTGTTTCCCTTTCTTTTTCTTTCTTGCCAATCTTTCTACATAAATCATGTTTTCTTTTCTCACTTCAATTTTATTTAATTGGAGAAGATGCTATCTATGCATCCCATTCCATCGTCATTTAATTTGATTTGTGGATGACGCGGTGGTGGTATGTTTGAATTCAATCTAATCCAATGGCCGGCTAGCGGCCGAGATGATTACTATTGATTATTATTTTTGTTAGAAAATCGATGTCACCCTTTTTATGTTCACAAACTCACGAGGAAAAATAATAATACGCGTGTTAATTACTATTCTCAACATCTACTGTAGTTTAGTCTAACTAGCCCTAGCTAATTTTCCATTGAATGTTAGTTACGGACTCCACTCAATGAATCTAGTTTCATATTTATAATTATTTAATATAACGTATATATTCAAACTTTTCAAAACTCACATGCAAACTATTTGGTGAGAAAAAAATAGATGCTAAATATATCTCAACTTCTAAAAGTCATAAGTAAAGGAATCGGTGAAATGTTTTGCATAGGTAGTAATAGATATCCGAATTTCAGGGGCCTCCTTTGACTCAAAGAAATTTCATGGGATGTTTGTTTGATTTTTATGGTTGGAGTCCTTTAGAAATATCCGTCCACTCCAACCTTGTCTGAGTTTACTCTGAGTTTACTTTAGTTCTCATGTGTTATTATTAACTCTTTCATCCAAATTCCACTAATTAGTTCTTAATCCTACAAGACAAGAGGAGATCAAAAACTCTAATCTTGTGGGGTTTTTTATCTTCTGTTCCCACATTCGAAAAATCCCATGAATATTTCAATAGCGGTCGGTTCTCCCTAGCGAACGATTCCTTCGCTAGTGGAGTAACGATCCACCAAACGAAATCGTTCGTTGGAAGAAGTCCCTCAGCGCGACCCCCCCCCCTTCCAGTTAGGTCAAGAAAAGCGTGTTTCCTATGACGCACTGGCAGGTCTTTAAAACTGGTATTTCAACCATGTTTTGAATAGCTACACAAACACAAAAATTGCCATGATATATGTAATAAAACTACAAAGATCCAAAAAATATATTATATATTTTTATGAAATAACTAAAAATGTCATGCTCTAAAATAACGAAAAATGGCATGCCTTAACTAATAAAAATACCATTATCTGGCCATGGTTTTGTATGAATTATTGACAAAGGTATATACAATTAATTTATTATGGCAAGAAGAATATGTCGCATTAAACGCAAATAATAATTCGCATGGCACCTATGGCAAAATAATTTTCCATGGTCTAATCAATAACAATGCCAAGGTCTAAATAATACATTTCCAAAGTCTAAATAACAAATTGTCATGATCTAAACAATAAAAGTGCCATGCTACGTAGAATACTACTATCATGGTGTAATTGATAAACTTGCCACTCTTTAAAAAATAAAAGTGTCCTGCTAACTACAATAAAACTACCATGGTCCAACAAATGAAATTTTCATGATATAAATAAGAGAAGTGTCATGATACCTACAATAAAACTACCATGGATTAGTTAACAAAATTACATGGTCTAAATAATATGTATTACATGCTACCTACACTACAACTACCATGATTTATTGTATAAAATTACCATAGTTTAAATAATGAAATTGCACAAGGAAAAAATAGGAAGTTGTTCTCTAAAATCATGGCACATGTTGAAATTTTGAAATGGGAACAAGGCAAATTTAGGAACATTATTATTCAAAAAGGATGGCAATTTTAGTAATTTCACACTGGCACATTGCTATTTAGGAATATTATTAATCCCCAATGCCTTCCCCTAGGCCAAGTATAGTGAAGTGTCATGTAGTTGATGTGCAAACGACACCACTAGAGGAAGAACAAGATATATATTATCAAAATATTGAATGAATACCAACACTAGTGCAGCGACCTGCTATACAAACGGTTTTTAACCCCTTTTTGTGACGGAGTTTTAAATCGCTGCCTTGCCTGTCACTACTAGGACAAACTTTATAGGTAGAACCTTACCAGTAGCACGGGTTAAGTTGCAACACTACTACTATATAGAAGTAGTGCGGGGCCTATACGAGTGCTACAAGTAAGTGTGTAGTAGTAGCGCCCGCTCGCGGTCCCCTGCTGCTGCTAAATGGTCCCCTCCTCACTCATGGGGGCTACCCGTAATAGCAGCGTTGGTCATGAGCCCACGCTACTGCTAAGGCAATTACCAGTAGGGCGGGCTACCACACACGCTGCTACTGTGGCCAGCCCGAGCCCAACTCACCGGCCCCATTTAGTAGCAGTGTGGGCTATAGACCCGCTCTATAGCTAAATGGCCTAGCAACAGCGTTGGTTGCTTCCCCGCACTATTGTTAATACCACCTTATCTTCTCTGCACGCACGGCCTCCCTCTCCCTCTCCACTCTCTCGGTCCTCACCATCCTCCCCCCCGCGCCGCCCACGCATTGTCTTGCTCCACCGCCGCCGCCAGCTGCTGCCATCACCACTGATGCTGTCGCCCACTGCTGCTGTCGCCCGCTGCCGCTGTCTCCCCCCGGTATGTCTTCTCTGACCCTTTCCATCCCTCCCACCTCCCTCCCTCCCTCCTGCATTGCATAAATTAATGGGTACATAGATAGATAGATAGATGGATAGACAGATGGATGGAACTAGGTTTTTTTAGTAATGCTTGGATATATAGGTGGATGGATGGATAGATGTTAGGTCTTTTGAATAGAATAGTAAGTGTCTAATAGAGTAGCAAAATCGAAAATGTTCGGTAAATTTAGGTCTTCTAAACCAAATGCCTTTAAGTAAAAATGTAGTGATAGAATATAAAATTGTTTTTTATATTGATGATATAATTTTTAATCATTGGACTATGTAGGATTTCTCGTGTTGCGTCACCCTCTCCCGCTCGGTCCCGTCCCCCCACCATGAGCACCTTCCATCTCCTTTCTGTTTAGTTTTTGGTTTATTTTCTTTTAATATATATGTAGATGTATGTATGTTTGCTAGAATGGTTGGTTAGATGGATGGATGCATGGATGCATTATTGATTGTTGCAGTTTTGTTTCATTATTGATTTTCCAAAAATCCTACAAAATGGATGCATGGATGCATTTTGCAGGGAACACCTCCGAGTGGCCTATGTTTTGCTGGAATGTTGATTAATTTTCATTCCAGCAAATTTTAGGCGCTCGATATGTCCTATTTTAGCAAAGGTCATGCCGGATTTCCCCCCTGAATTTTAGCATGACTTGTGCTAGAATATGTAGGAAATATCAAGTGCCTTTGATTAGCCAGAAAGAGAATTAAACCACATTTTGGGTTGACTTTAAGTATCTTGGGGCTCCATACATGACAGTCAAAGAATCATGGAGGAAGCATGTCCACCATATATGTGAGAAGGCACTGGTACTGTAAGGTGCTATACAAGCGGTTTTTAACCCCTTTCCGTGATGACATTTATAACCGTTGCCAAGTGAGTGTGGGCGATAGGGGGGTCCTTCCCACATGATCCAGAAACCGTCGGGGATGGGCGAGCGGCTACTAACGATCGCCATAGAATAAACGTATGAGAAGCCGCCCTAGTCCCACACGTTACATCTCGACGTTACGTTTCTGATCACAGAGACATCCCAAACGATTACGCCGCTATAGTCGTGTGAAAAAGGTGGACATCAACATTTAATCTGCCGATATTTTTGTGATAGGTACATTATCGCACATGGTTCAAGAATATAAAATGTGTGCGGTGCCTCTACTAACGCCAATGTGTCCATTTTCATAACCGTGTGCGATTGGTATTCCTATCACACACGTACACTGGTTTGAAACGTTTGCCGTATTACCATGAGTCGCACACGCATATGAGACGAAACTGTGTGTGCGTCCGTCGGGCATCGCAAACGTTTCACGTCAAAGAATCGTCTGTTCTCTTTTTTTCATCGCACACGCTATTTTATTTCTAACCATGTGCACATTATTTTATTCGCTCCTGTATATTTTTATTTTTGCCTGTAATTTATTATTCGAATTGGAAATTTTGAAATATGAATGCAATTCAAATTTTCAGTACAATGGTTCAACAACGAATCCATAAATAAAATTGTCAGTACAATATGTTCAGTAATTACAGGATTAGACATCAATTAACTATGATGAACCACAATATTTACAGGCGGTAAAGGTGAAGAGACAAGTGTAAATCATTTTGACTACCGATGGTGTTGAAGAAGTGGAATGCCCATAATCTGCCTTCCTGCATGCCATAGGCACGGACAACTTTTGTCCAACCCCTTGTGACAATCTCCCGCCCATCCTTCACTGCCTTCAGGAAGACTTCTAGAGCATTATCATGGTAGCATGAATTATATACTTTAACCTTAGTTGCCTCCACTTCGGTCATGTAGTTTGCAAGGTAATCATCAGTAAATAGCTTCGAAAACCATTAAAAAGAGAAAAATATCAGATACTGAGGTCTAATAGAGTAACTTGTTGTGGGCAGGGGGGAAAGACAACACATTACTTACCATCCTAAAGTTCACTGTTGTCTTGGACAAAGTGTAAATAAAGAGCTTAATTCCCATCACCCGTTTTTTCGCCTAACAATCTTTCTTAGTTTCCTCACTTGACGCTTGTTCATGAATATCTCATTGCCCCATACGCAAAAGGGATTGAAGCATGGATCAGTACCACTCATATATGTACCTACAAGCAACCAGTAAATGCTAGAACCTTAACTGAGATTGCACAAATGATATAATATACAACTACCTACATTCCTAAGTACACGTATTTTTAGAGATTTCAATATGAACTACATACAGATGTATATAGAATTATAGATGTAGTTTAGATTAGAATCTAGATTCACTCATTTTGCTTCTTATGTAGTCTATATTGGAATCTCTGAATATACTTATATTTAGGAATAGATGGTGTATAAGACATGTGATGCAGCTAACCTCGACGGCAAACAACAACATCGCCCATTGTAGTCCTGTGTAAGTACATGGAAAGCCAATGTTAACTACAACAGGGTTAACATCCACCAAAAATAGCAAATGGTAATAAAACAGCAGCA